TAGAGCTCGTTAAAAGGCACACTCTCTGTGTGCCCCGGGGATCAGAGGAGACGGGTTCGGGTTTGAATTTTTGGTTTCAAAAGCCGGAGTCGAGACAGGGGATTACCCCCGCCCGAGACCGAGACCGAGACCCAGTCGGAGATCACGTTTCAACAGATTCTACTGCAGGGGCTGGGTCTCGGTGTTCCCGGCCAGGATGAGTTGTCGGGGCTATTAATAAGCCTGGCGGTTGGTGGCTGGTGACAACACGTGAAACTCCATGACGTCTCACTGTGATGTTGGCCAAACCTTGCCTCCAACCCTCCTCCGTCGGGACAATGGTTAGCCTTGGCAAACACACCGAATTTCCCAAAAACGTGTTTACAAATATTTTCAAAAGCGGCCCAAACAATGCGACAGCCTCGGGGGGACTCCGAGTCGTCCTATTGTGTGCATTTTGCATGACTTTTCCTTTAACCAACCCATGAATATCTATTCCCTCCTCGCTGGCTGTTGTTCTTTTTTAAATTGTTGCTTCTTTTCAAATCTATAACTGTGGCTGTACCATCCATATACGTGTATATCCTCATCAAAGCGTCTATTTGTTGCCTCGTCCTCTCGTTTCACTTTTTTCCGCTCATTATCCTTCATGATTGAGTAGTTGGCAATATCTATAAATTGGTATGTTCTTATAGATACCTCTATTGACTGCCTCCCGAGCGATTTCTTGGAGCTCGGAACAAATGTCGGTCGGTAAATAAACCGAGATTTGTTTTCTTTCTTATATGTTCTTGTTTGGAAATAAAGTTTATTGTTTGCCAAAAAAATATCGTGGAAATATTGACATCGAAGGATCTATCATAGGAATAATAGATTGGATACAATAAGCTGTTAAATATATATTGTTAACAAATATATTTAACTTCAAGTTTATAGTAATTTATTTTTAAATTTATTTAAAACAAGAAAGAAAGCTAACTTCGGCCAGCCAAAGTTTGTATAACAATTAAAATATATCATAACTAAGCCAAAAACGCATTAATTTCGATTCCGAAAGCAGTTTTGTGTTAGTTTTTATTAACTTAAAAAAACTGCATACCAAATTTAACATTTTAAGAAATCAAATTTTTTGGCCATTTTTGCTAATTTTAATGATGTAACCCCTTATCAAATTTCGCAAAAATGGCCAAAAAATCGATTTCTTCCGGACATGTCTAGAAAGATTCGCATGTTAATGCTGATCAAGAATATATATGGTTTATGGGGTCGGAAATGATTCCTTGACTTAGAAAAATATTATTTTGTATTATAAAATCAGATTTTTTATATTTAAAATCTTCTTGATTTTTTTTAAATTAAAAATATCATAACTCGACCAAAAGAGCATTAATTTTAAATCGGAAAACTGTTCTGTGCAAGATTTTCTACAGTTAATAAATCTGCGTACTTCATTTAAAAATTTTGAAAATTCAATTTTTTATCAAAATCAAAAATTTTAATGATGTAACCCCCTATCAAATTTCGCAAAATTGGCCAAAAAATCGATTTCTTCCTGACATATCTAGAAAGATTCCCCTGTTGATGCTGATCAAGAATATATATACTTTATAGGGTCGGAAACGTCTCCTTCACTGCGTTGCCAACTTCTGACTGGAATTATAATACCCTGCAAGGGTATAATAATAAAAATAATATCAGCTGAAATTTTTTTATTTAAAATTATATTTATTCGTAAGTTAATAATACGAGTAATTATAATTTAGAAAATCGGTTGTATAAAACTGGGAACTCATATTCTTTCTGTGAGCTAAAAAGAATTATATATAAAATATAATAATAAATATTATAAATATAATAAAAATAATAATACATTATTGCCTGACTTATTTTAATAGTTTTATCATATATTTTTTATGGAACTATAATATTTTGTAAGGTTTTCTGACTATTTAAACTCGAAATTCGTAGTAATCTTATTCCATATAACTATACTTTAGTTACAATTATAATCTCCCATATTCAATATTTTAATATTTATCCCCCGCTTAATTTCCATGTCCTTTACTTATTTCCTTTTAAGAAAATTCGCTTTGAAATGCATATAAATGCACATTTCTCTACAAATCCCCTATATGCCTAGGATAATAGATTCCGTCTTGATCCTGGGCAAATTACTCTTTCCATGGACCTTATCTGGGGATATTATCGGGAATTTGATGAATGCACTACGCATATCGGCTGTGTTATTTCAATTTTGCCTAAAAAAACATGCACACGAGAGATGGAGTGCCATTGATAACAAATTTCATACGTAAAGATTACTTAAAAGGAGCTCAGTGCGTAAAAATGTTATTGTAGGATTATGTTTCCTGTTTCTTTGAAAAATCGCCTGGACACAACACAACGGCACACACATGACAATGGGACGGATCAATAGGAAAAGGAATCGAGGTGGAAATGGAAAGGGAACTGCATGCGAGGCCATATATGGGACCACAGATCTTGTGTGGGTCTTGGGTTTCCATGGTCAACCGCTATGTTGGCTTGCCACGGTAGTCGGATCGAAGTGTATGGGATCTAAAAAAGGATCTTTAAGGCTCGTCTTTTAAGTATGGGTGTCTGTGTGCGAGGGAGCGACTTCTGCTTTTCTCTTTCTTCCTCGGGGCGTTCGGTAGGCGACATGTAGGTAAACAAGGATATAGTTTCGGTGTATATATATGTGAGCGGCGAAGATAGGCATCTCCTTGAAGGCTTCTCGGCACCGGTGATTAGCTCTTTTGTTGGCATCGTCTTCCTCCTCGCCTCCGATCCTACCTCTTCTGCCTCCGCCGCTTTGTTGATGTCTCTATGGCGGTGCAGAAGTGCACAATGTCCGGACGAGATACTTGCCTTCTCTAGTAGCCATTCAGCTGGAACAGGAACGTGAATCCTTCAATCTTTCTCCTGAATTGTCCCCTATGATCTATCTTTTGGAGATATATGTATAACAATTGTAACTATTTAATGCTTTTGTAGAGCACAGGAAGTCGATGGTTCCTGGGGAAATAATCTTTCGAATACTTTAATTTATTACTGTCTTTGCTTTAAAAATTATTTACTCTTTTCCTTAAGAGCTTATAGAACTCGGAAGTAATATTTTAGAATTTGTGGGATTTTTAATACTGGTAAAGGATTTTAATTTAGGTTTATTTATAAACCTCTTCCGACTTTTTGAAAGAGAGATGAAAACAAAAGGATTTGAAATGGAAAAATTAATTTCCCTGTGTAACATTTTTAAGGTCTCAGAATTTATTATATTTATATACATTTTTAAATATATAAAAATATATTTATAACAAGATTTTAAAGCTTTGATCTAATCTGGTTCCTAGGGAAATAATCTTTCTACTATTATGCATTTAAATTTATTGCCTTGTTTGCTTTAAAAATAATTTATTCTCTGTCTTTAAAGCTTATAAAACTCGAAAGTAATATTTTGGAATTTCTGGAATTTTTGTTATTGGTAAAGTATTTTTAATTAGGTTTTTAAATAAACATCATCTGACTTTTTTAAACTGATATAATTGTTTAATAATTATTCAGTTGATAATTAACATAATTTAAGAACATTTAAGCACAATATATGTACATATAATCTGTTTAATTAATACCTAAATTTCTCATTTATACTCAAAATCCTTTAAAGAAAAGTAATCTGATCCTTCTGTATTTGCATAGCACACGACCAGCCTCATACCTTCTCCCTTCGTTAATCACATATGAATGAAAACTTATCGTAGATGTTCAATTATCCGGTGAAAGGAGCTCCTGAGAGCTCATAAACTGAGATCATTTATCACATGTGGAAATGGGATATACCAAGATAGAACTGTTTCTCGACAAACCAATCTCTCCCGACTGATTACGCCAATCACCTATGGCATCTTCTAGGTCCTAAGTTCACACATGATCCTGGATAGTGGAATCTGGTTAACCAATTCCTGGTTACAGCTTCTATCTCGAAGGCTCAATTAGCAGGCTGGACGGGATCTGCTCGAGATAGCCACTTCAACTTGACAGCAGATACTAATCAGAGTGGCTATCTCCATCCAGACATCCCAGGAGCGAGGGCAGAGTGCACCCAAAGAGCAACTCAATCACTCACATTCGTTAGGCACTACTTATTCATTGTTCAGAAAGTACTCGTATGCGAGGGATTTACGTTTATCTGTGATGTGCAATCTAGAAATACTCTGGGATTATTCCGAGCAGTGATCCCAACACCGGCCGAGATGTAGATAAGGCATCCGAACTAGCACTCTGTTTTGGTACTTGGTTTACAAAATATTTTCCTCTATTGTCACAGCACTTGAAGATCCCTGGCCAGCGATAAGATCAACAATGGTAGGGGCCTCAAATTTCATGCATAGCTATTTTTTCAATAAATATTCTTCTGTCTGGCGACGCGTCTCGGGATAGTGCCGCCAAAAATTAAGAAAATATATATGTACATATATATACAACTAAGTAGGAATGTCAAATATTGTTCCAATCGACTTGGCCACTTGCTATCGTCTCCGAGGAATAATTCCGTTTCTGTTTCTGTTTGTCTTCTTCTACGTCCAAGTGCGTTTGCTTAGTCCTGTGTCAATATTTGCCGTACAAGTGCAAAGAAAACCTCTATTTGCCCAGCGGAGAGTCGTCCCTTGTGTTAATCGGCGATGCCAGCTATATTGACAGAGAGCTCATTAGATCCCTTCTTCAACGCTTGATGACCCTGTGTCTGGGTCTGGGTCTGATTGCTGAGGGTATTTTTCAAAGTCACGACGTGTGTAATGGAGGGATAGGGAAATGGAGGTGGAGATGGAAGTACATTTTCACGGTACACCACGAATATAAAGTGTTTTCAGTGCACGATCAGCATCAATGGCAGCAGCGATAATGACAGGCTATTTACCTTAATTTATCTGGGTTTTTTTGAGGCTGCAATGGAAAATATGCATATAAAAATGCATATAAGTAGATGTTTTAGTCTGAATCAGTTCATTTTTAGGTTTTAATTTCTCTGACCGAAAGATAAATATAAATTCTTCAGTCTAGAAAGTATTTTCTGTAATATTTTCTTGAAACTTCTCTAATTCAGATATCTTGATCCGCTTGCGATGTTTCATATAGTCCTCAAAGTCAATAGTGTCGCAGCGTCCAGTCAGAACATCGTCCATTAATTGGCTGCCCACCATGTTGACCACCAAGCGATCATTGTTCATTTTCAAAGCGAGTCCAAGACCCTCTTCCTTTCGCAACTCTCGAATATGAAAATCGTAATGGTTTTTGTAATAGTTCAGCTTCAAGTCTTTTAGTTCATCAATCTCCTTGAACTTGTTGAAAAGGTTGGTTTTTGATACCACTGGGAATGAAGTGTCTTCCATTTTGCTTAAAAATCTGTTGTATTTATATAATTAAATATTATTATTATTATTTTTAAAGTAAACCTACTGATTTGTGAGATTTTTGAAGCGAGACGAGTGACACTATTTATTCTGAATGTCAAATAATATTTCGGTTAAACTTGGAAGTAAGAATCAATGCTGTATTGATGAGAAAATAAAGAAATTGGAGAACAATTAAGGTTCAATTCCACCATCCATGTAAAATGTACAGTTTATCCAAGGCCAAATAGACCTCCATGATATAGCAAGTTGGGTGTAACTAAGCAAGTTTCGATTCGCTCCTTTTGTATGCCATTAGCACTCCCTTGAGAAATCGTATTTCTGTTTACAGACTAAAGATCAGCTTCCGGTTGCCCTGATAAATGTAACAATTGCATATAAATTGTATTAGCCACGCATCCTCCTTTTTTTTATTGGCCTTGGACCTGTAATTTCAATGCTAAAAGGTTTGTAAAGGACTTTGCTCAGGGCCATGCAGGACGACATCCTGGTTGGTGCATTCATTGAATTGCATTCTCCTGAATTGAATTCGCATGTAAAATGCACTCGCCGTGTTTGCGTGCAATTGTGACCAATTTTAGTGCGACGATTTGTGTATTTCTTTGGTGCGGTTGGTTCCATCTTCGAATGGTTTGAATGGACCGGGAGATGTCCTGCGGAGCTACGCACGAGTGCCTCTCAATGGGCAGGACAATGCTGGACTCCTCGCCGGCATTCACACTCGACGGTCGAGTGAGAAGGCATTGTCCTTTGAGAGGCCAACACTCATTCAGCACTCGTTGCACCCGCAGACAATGCCCCGGTTCTATGCACATGCGCAACGAATGCTCCGCTGGTCCATTCAACGAAAATCCATTGCCAATTATACATACATTTATTGTCTACTTACTCGAATATTGTGTTTTTTTTTGTCCTCGATCCTCTCGGGGTCCCAGGGTCTGGCCAACATGTCCTGGACATGTTACTGCTTGCTGTTGGCCATAATTCCGATAGATCTCTCAAATAGATCGTTGTAGCAAAGCAGATACACTGGAGAAAATATATCTAGAGGTCTTGTTTTTCTAAAAAAATATATAAATATTTTTTTGTAATTTAAAAAATATATTAAAAAGTGATCGATTTATTTAAATGTATATATTAGTTACCAAAAAATTGTAATAAATAATTTTAAAACATTTAAAATTAAATTTTCCATTAAAAATATTATTATTTTAAATGAATTTTTTAATAACATTTTTCTTGTTAATTCTTTAAGTATTTAATTCTCAATTTCAAAAACTCAATTCAAAAAATACATCTTTTTTTCCCTGTGTAATTACAAACAATACCCCAGCATGCTTTCCCAACTTTCGCCTTCGTCATTGCCCCCTAAAAAGAGTGTCCACCATTTTTGAAGCAGTATCCACGGCATTTTCCAGGCTATTAATTGTTCAGTTGGCTTTTTGTTGTTCATTTGTCTGCTTTCCACCTTCAATTACTCATAGGTGCTGCCAGCCATTAATGGGGACAAAGGGCAGTCCTTTGAAAGCAATTTCGGTCGCTAAGTAGCAAACAATAGTTTGGCAATTATCAAACATATAACACACTCTTTCTCGAGAGCTGCTCTTTTTTTTCAGGCAGTCAGTCAGCTGCGGATTCCTGGTAAAAGGCAAATTATTGTTAATAATCGTATAATGGAGGACCATAAATTTCAAGTCAATTTCTAAAGGACATTGTACTACATATCCGTATACACCCAAAAAAAAATCCCTCATTGTAGTAAAGACTGTACTTTCGAATCTCTGCAGATGTGCTTCGCGTTATTTGAAATCAAGTGAATAGCAATTTGGTGTCAATTGAAGGACTTTGTTTTTTAAGAATACTCAGAATAGATCCCAATAACAACAAAATGGGAAAGTAATGCTGGATAATGGAAACTTTACTGGGGTCTATTTTATTGTCAATGATTTCAGTTAAAGGTATCTGGTTTATCAAATGATTGAAAAATTAACAAAAGACGTCGACAATTGAAGCAGAAGCTACAATATCTATCACTATAAAATAGTACTCAAAATAAATTGTAACAGCAGGACTGGCACAACCTAATTTCTAATAAGTAATTAGTTGTCGTACAAATATATATTTAATACATTTATATAAATTCTAAATCAAGTGCCTTTTCAGATAAACATTATACCCTTGCAGGGTATTATAATTTCAGCCAAATGCGTGTAATGCAGTCAAGGAATAATTTGCGACCCTATAAAGTATATATATTCTTGATCAGAATCAACAGGCGAGTCTTTCTAGTCATGTCGGAACAAAATAAAAAATTAATTTTTTTTGTTCAAAATTTGAAAATTTGATCGATAATATTTTCAAAATCTGACCAAAATTTTGATTTCTTAAAAATCTAAATGCAGTATGCAGATTTGTTAACCTACAAAAAACTAGCACAGAACAGCTTTCCAAATTGAATTTGATGATTTTTTGACTTAGTTATGACTTTATGTTTGTTTAAAATTCAGATTTATCATCTTTTGTTTTTCCAAAGAAAAATAATTTATAAAAATATCGAAACATTTCAATTTCAGGTTTGCGAACATTTCAGGTATTCTTGAGAGCATAAAATGTTAAAAAACCAACTACGATTTGTCCTTAAAATGCTAATTAATAAATAATAAAATTTTATAAATAAAAAAAGAGTTTAACCCAATTTAATAAATGTAATATTTCTTTAAAAATCACAAATATTTAAATTCTTAAATTTTTTAGTTCAGTATGCAGGTATATTAATTTACTAAAGCCCAACATAGTAATATTTTCCGAATTAAATTATTGCTATTTAAGATAAGGTATGTTTTTAGGCTTGACTCTAATTTTTATCTGCAAGGCTTTCCGTAATAGACTCCTCTAGGAATAAAGGGATAATAATAATATCAAAATGAAAAGTAAAGATTTTTGGTCAATAATTTCATTTCTAAACTTTTCCAAGGTATATTATTACATATCCCAAAGGAAGGTTATTCCTCCATCTCCTACTCAAATAAAGTTTGTTGGAAAGTTAACAACCCGATGAAATCACCTCTTGGTCCAACAAGCTCTTGTTAACCCAATTACAGGATCTGTTGAAGAGCCAAGGACCAACCTTCGCCATGCCATTCGATACAATTATGTGTCTAATGAACTGGGCGATTGAGGGTGTTTTAGTAAATTCCGTGTTGAGCGACATAAAGGATCGCTTGTGCGAAGATCAAAAGCGAAACCGAGACGAAGACCACCAAGCCAAATGAATTTTCCGCTTTGATCCTGCCGTGGCCGCTCGCCATTGTAACGGCTAATCGCACCAGGTGACGGATGCGTCGGCTTGTCAGGATCGGAGCTCGGTGTTCGGTGTTCGCTGCTCAGAGATCGAGGATCGGAGGTGGAGGATGCATTGGTAGTGACAAGGGAATAGTTCGGAGGTGTCTCTTTTCATGCGCCCGGGCATTGTGCGAAAAGTAGCAGTTTCCTCTTCTCGCTTTGCTTTTCGACCCGCCCTTTGTGATCTATGTGGGTAGTCCTACGTGTTTGCCGAGGTCCTTTCTCTCGACGGGCAACGAAAATTGTTACATAGAGACTTTCAATTTGCTTTTAAATTGCCGACAAATTGGGTTTAGCGAGGGCCACCAAAGATGATTACCTATGCCGATCGTTGGGTACCTTTATAATATTCTAACTAGAGTCCTGACTAAAATATAGTTGGTATAACTTTACTCCAAATATTCATCCCTTGCGCACATATGGTTCCCAAAAGGACGATTTGCAACGCTTCTCGGATTCTTCGACCCGAAAATTGAAAGAGAATGAAACGGGGACAGGATCAGGGAACGTGTATCCCATTTGAAACGGTTGATTGGGTTTCTAATAGAATTCATGTCCTGCCAGCATCTTTCTTGTTGCGAATTGATTCGATGCACTCGGTTGCGATTCAATAATGAGCTCATCTGGCCGATCGAAAACGTACGTTTGTTTTCGTTCGCCAATGTTCCAGGTAATCCAGCCAGGAAATTTCGATTTCTCCGCTGGCATTCTGTCCGCTACCATGTTTATTTAGGATTTTAATTGGCCCCCGCATTGGATGATGCCAATTTCTGACTTAAGCTGCCATTTTTGAACATAAATAAAACAAATATTTGGAATATAAGAGTTGGAAAGTTGGATAGAGAAAGCAACAGTAAATGTTTATAAATGGTTTTAAATAAATAACACATTTTGAAAATTTTTATTTATTTTTCGGGGGGAATTGTTTATTATTTATATATTATTTGTAATAAATAAAATATTTTGGTATTTTAAAACTCTGGTAATAAGGAAATGTTTAATTTTTAAAGCGAAATACAATTTTTAAAGCCTATAAAAAAGCATAAAAAAATGAATATATAGAAACAAAACTTTAGATTTAAGAAGTTGGAAGTATATTATTCATTAGATAAATACTTCTTTTTATATAAATACTTACCACATTTATTTTAACAATAATTGATTTAGAGTTACTGCATTTATTTTATATATTTTTGTATGTAGTACCTAAATCGATCTTTCTTTTTGTTAATATTTAAAAAATATACACGAGAAACTTAGCTAAAACATCGTAGCTTAAAATAAGTCGTAATTTATTTAATATCAATCTATATTCATTTCCTATTTATAACTCCTAAAGATTCCCTTTTAAAACAAAGACATTTAAATTAAACCCCCACAAGTAATACCTTTCTCAGTGAACTTTTCCCTATGTACATACATCTGTAAATCTCTTTACAATTTGACTTGATATTTATGATCTTTTATTATAACAATATTATTAACAATAATTTACCTTTTACCCTCAAATCTGCATTTGACTTGGGTGTCTACAACTGAAAAGAGCATAATCCCACCCGTCTGCATATTTTGGAATAATTACTAGTATTGTTTGCTACTTTGCCTGCTAGGAAAACCTTTTCACGGGACTGCTCATTGTGCCACCTCAACGGCACAAAGGCACAGAAAAATAATTAAAATTCAAAATCCTGAAAATGACAAAATGGAAATTTCATATTTCAGGCCATTAAAATATTTGGTTTCAGGAAAATATAATCTATTTTTCTAAGGGAATTGGTCTAAATTTATTATTAAAAGGGAATACATTTAAGAAAAATAATATTTCGTTAAGGGAATTTGTAGCATATTTGCAGATGTTTTTATTTATGTATTTGTATTATTTTTTGTATGAAGTAAATTAGTAACTTTCGACTTTACAAATAAAATTAGGAAAGCCTGTTTTAGCCTGTTTTAATATATCCAGAAATTATATAAACTCTTGGAATAAAGCCACTATATATTATTAGATACAATTACAATTATTTATTTTCTTTGGTAAAAAATGAAGAGTGCCTTAAGCCTACACTTACTTTTCTTCTTTCCAAATTCCCTGAAACTCTATTATTAATTCGTTAAGTAATCCCTAAGTATTTGAGGACAAATTTAGATTGGCGTAGTAATTTCAATTTTGCACAGAGAACGTGCTTGGGTTCCAAGAACTCTTATTTCGTTTTATTTTGTAAAGGAACTTTTGCTTCGGTTACATTTTTCGGCAAACATTTGGAACGAATCGATTTCCTTTGGCCGTTGGCGACAAAGTCGCCAAAATACAATTATTCATCGGGCACGTAACTGACTTTTCACTCGCAGGAACCTTAAAGAAAATAGAGCCCAGAAATAATAGAGAAAGAAAAATAAAAATTTGTGAACAGGAATGTTCAGGCGTTGCAAATTGGAATGTGTCCTGCAGGATGCTGCCCGAGGATCCTGATCGGGGGTGTATTTGTGTAGATGCAACTGCAGACGCACAGACAACCCATGCTGAGCCCTTTTCGAAGGGACAAAAAGGATCCTGCACACTTCTTCTGTTTTTAAACGATCCGTACTTGCTGTTCGAGTCACGTCACGGATTTTAGCATTCGAACCCATTTGACATTTGACAATTATTCATTTTTCGTTTTATTTCTTAGAAATAAAAGTCGGCCGCATCGCCCCGAATCGATTGGTTCCAAGTCGATGCAATTGAATTGGTAGTTGCCTTTTTTTTTTTTATCCTTGGGCCTCTGGCTTTTTGGCATCCTGTTACCAGGATTCAGCAGGATTCGTTTCAGCTGTTCGCCACGATCTATTTGGTGTTTTACGCTCATTTCGGGGCGAACAAAGTTCCGAATGCGGAATGTGGAGGGTTTTGGTTATGCGTAAATCGAAGTAAATCGAACTACTCCTACAAAATGATACGGTGGAAATCGCAATTTTCACGTTCATCCTAATTATCCTTCGAACTTAATTGCTTAATTAGAAGACCATTCGAGTGTGTGGCGGGACTGAAGGTGTATCTCATGGATTGCTAGAACGAATTCGATTTCGATATCAGTCCTTCTGGGTGGGTATCTTAATGAAAACAGCATAAGATATGCCGATGTGGTGGGTTTTCCCTCCCTGTGAGCCCTTGAGCTCAATTATTTCTCGAAGACTTTGACCTTTTTCGAGTCATGATAAAAGCGAGATAAGATATGGGGAGGTCTTCTGTTAAGAAGTAAATATCTTAGAGGGGTTTTAAACAATTAGAGTCAAGATAGGGCGAAGATTATTATAAGGGATAGGTTGATTGGCTTGAAAAGGGGAATTTAAAAATTTAAAGTAGCCACTCTTAATTTTATTTTGAAATAAGCTTGTTTTTAGGTTCAAGATATAATATTTTTATTTATATTTCGTTAGCTCTTTTCACCCTTAAAATATTTTTAAATTATTAAATTCAAACAGTAAATAATTTTAAAGCAAATATATTTATTAAAATATGTGGTTTTCTGCTTTAATAATTTTTGATGTAAGCGTTTATGAATTTTTATTAAATGAATAAATATATTAAATAATAAAAATATCAAAATGAACCCCTGCAAATTTTAACATAAAATATATAGTTGTATTTTGAATTGAATAATTATTGTAAAAGAAAAACATTTTTAAGCCACAGATTTTCTAAAATGTAATAAATTCTTAAAGCATTTCTAAAATTTAATACATTTTTTATATTTTCCCGTATTTTTTTTATATTTTTGCAAGGGTTTTAGGAACCTAATAGTATAATTGAATAAATTATTAAATATAAAACATTTCCCAATTGAAATTAATGAAGTTTTTAGCTTAGTTAAGATCCATTCAATTGTAAACTTCAAGGATAATTTAACGTCGTCTTTTCAAAGATACTTAGCTTTCTTTTTAGTTATAAATGTTAACTAAGGTTTAAATATTATTACAAAATATTAATTCAAGAAAACCAAAAACTGTTGATAAAATAAACATACAAAAGTATTTAAGATTAATACGAAGAAAAAACTTTCTATAACTAAATATATGTTTATCCATAAAAACCCAAACGTAATCGTAATTTGTTAAAAAGGATACTAATCCCTTATTGATCTTAACCGCCTCATGTCGTGACTCTTTATTTTTATTTCGGATCTTGTTGGATATATCAGAGTAATCAGTTTCAGCCAACCGAATAAGTACCCGCAGTAATTGCAATTAATTTAGAGAGCATCCTTGATAAGTTCAGCTACAGTTTAGTTCAGAGGGAAAATCCGTTGCAGGTAAAAGTGTCCCTACCTGCGATGACGCATTCCTCATCCCTCATCTCTCTTTGGGATGGCACAAAGCAGGTAGCAGGAATCAGGACCCTCCACCACCGCTCAGGGTATAAAAGAGCGAGCTGGCTGAAGCAAGAGCATCATTCGAAGCACAGTTTTCCATCTGAGCAGATCATCAGCAATCGTCCTGTAAAATGTTCGCCGAGACAGCTCTCATTGCCAACACCCAAGGAGTGACCGAGAAGCGTTCGCTAACCGGCGCCTCCAACAACATGAGGAAACTGCTGAAGTCCTTCAAGAAGATCTTCAGGAACTCGAAGGTCGCCAAGGAGACGCCGATCCCTATCCTCCACACTTGCCACACCGAGGAGGAGCACCAGAACTGGCTCAACGAGCAACTGGAGGCCAAGATCATTAGCCTACAGCACTGAGTTCTTCAGGGATGGCTCTTCAGCCCACCTCACCCCATCGAGTATCTGTGATGTGACCCGATTGCAAGGTCATTAAATGGGCACGTCAGCTTTAAACCTTCAACTCCAACTGTGATGACGAGAACACGAGACTGATCCCGCCTTGTGTGCCTCGGAAGCGTCCAACTGCGTCGCTTCCGCCAACTGTACATAGCCAATTAGCTCCTAGAATGTCTTCAATAATGCTTTAATCTAGCCGTAATCATCGTAGCCGTAATCATTGTCTTCCATTAGTTTTTAAGCGAATCATTGTCTTCCATGTTTGTTTGTTTAGGGTTCAAAATTAGCTTAAGAATAAAAATCCCTCGAGGAAAAAAAAAAACAAAACTTTATGGTGTTATTTATTTTACTCTTTCAGGTTTTTTAACAGGAACAAAGTAAAGTTTTTAAAGGCTTCTAATGAGTAACAGTTTTAAAAAAAGTAAACCAAAATAAAATCGCAAGTTGAATTAAGCAATTTTCAGCTTATAAATATGACAAGAAAAATGTATAATATTAATACGTTTGCTTTAGAAAGTATTTTGAAGGAAAATTTATATTTAGAAAATTGAGAAATTCAGCAGTGCATATGTATTTTATTTATTAGAATACTTTTAGACTGCAAATCTTGTTATGTTTGAACCATTGAATATGCTAAGAATGTTGGAATTACAAATAAAATAACAAAATTATCAATTAATTATCTAAGACATTTTTATACCCTTGCAGGGTAAGCTTCAGAAGCTTAAAATGCAGTGAAGGAGTCATTTCCGACCCCATAAATCCTATAAAGTATATATATTCTTGATCAGCATCAACAGCCGAGTCGATCTAGCCATGTCCGTCTGTCTGTCTGTCCGTCTGTCTGTTTCTACGCAAACTAGTCCCTCAGTTTTAAAGCTATCTGAATGAAACTTTGCATATAGTCTTCTATATACTCTCACTGATATATATGTCGGAACGGGCCGGATCGGACGACTATATCATATAGCTGCCATACAAATGTTCGATAAATTTTTAGAAAAAAAATTATAACTTGGCTGTTTTTCAATATTTTTGTATCATTTTTGAGATATAGCCATTTTATATTATTCCAACTCATTACGCATAGAAGGAGTCATTTCCGACCCTATAAACTATATATATTCTTGATCAGCATTAACAGGCGCATCTTTCTGACCATATCCGGCAAAAAAAAATTTGTATAAATTTTTTTAAAATTTTATAAGGGGGTTACATCATTAAAATTCTCAAAATTTGATAAAATTTTGAATTTTTAACTAAGTTTGCAGATTTGTTAACCTTATAAAAACTAACATAACACCGCTTTCCGAATGCAAATTAAGGCATTTTTGACAGAGTTATGGCTTTTTTAGTTTTTAATTTTCTGTTTTTCTCATTTCAATTACCGACTTTCCATCGTCATTGCCATCGCCATCCCTCATCAGTACCACCCACCCCGACCAAAAACCAAGGGAAAGGACAAACGACACAGCGATCCGCGAAGCACAAGTTCATCCTAGTCATCATTGTAATTGTTGATTGATGATCATCGGATCGGCAGTGGTGAAGCTGGAGGAGCAAGCAGCTGGGATGGCGGAGCTCAAGCGAATGGCAGTGGTCGGATCTTGGCTTCGGGCTAGCTGAAGCCCAGCAGGCGTAAAGTATTGGAATATTTATAACTACTACTACTACTACTATAAATGTGTAAATGTAATTGATGGTACAAACAAATTTGAATCAATAAAAAAGGGAAATCAATGTGAAATTGTGTGGTTTAAGCGGCATTTATTTAAATCTGTTGAAAGCCAAATCTAATTTTTTTCTGAATTTTTAAATTTTTTTCTGAATTTTTTTAAATATTTTAACTGCCAAATTTGAATTTGAATTTAACTGCCAAATTTGAATTTTAATTTAACGACGATCAGTTTCAGTGTGCCCAGGTGCAGTTGTAAAATAACACCTAAATTTGGATTCAAAAAGGTTTGAGTCCCCGCTAACTTGCGCCGGCTCCTAAATGGTTTGAAACTTGGACAAAATTTACAATATGGTCATACTGGCACGTTTTTCGTGGCCCAAAGTTTTTATAACAGTTTATACCAGTTTTCAGTTGCTTGCTGCTGATTTTGTTCGCCTGTTACCCCAATTTGGGAAACGGGCAATTTGCATGGAAATTTTTGGAAATTTGGATGGGCTGCTGTAGGGATGTTGTTGTAAAAAGGTTGTTGTTGCCATAAGCTGTTGTTGTCGGCAACAAATAGGTATAAATGCATAAAAGAAAATATAACAGTTTATAACAATTATTAATTTTGCCCAAAAGTTTTTATAACAGTTTATACCAGTTTTTAGTTGCTTGCTGCTGGTTTCTGTTCGCCTGTTACCCCTGTTTGGAAAGCGGCCAAATTGAATGAAAAATTTTGGTCACTTGCATCAGTGATGCTCATCTTCATCAGTGATGCTCATCTGGCTATATTTCAATATTAGGGGGGCAATGAAATCGGACATAATGGCAGTGATGCTCATGTGCATTAGTGATGCGCATCTAGCTATTTTGCATTATTGGAACAAAATGGCATCTCACTAACTGCCAGTGATGCGCATCTAGCTATTTTGCATTAATGGGACAAAATGGCATCTCACTAACTGCCAGTGATGCTCATCTAGCTATTGCTATATTGGGAGGCTATAAAATCTCATTTAATACCAGTGATGCTCATCTACCTATATTGCATTATTGGGACAAAATGGCATCTCACTAGTTGCCAGTGATGCTCATCTAGCTATTGCTATATTGGGAGGCTATAAAATCTCGGTTAATACTAGTGATGCTCATCTAGCTATATTGCATTATTGGGACAAAATGGCATCTCACTAACTGCCAGTGATGCGCATCTAGCTATTTTGCATTAATGGGACAAAATGGCATCTCACTAACTGCCAGTGATGCTCATCTAGCTATTGCTATATTGGGAGGCTATAAAATCTCGGTTAATACCAGTGATGCTCATCTAGCTATATTGCATTATTGGGACAAAATGGCATCTCATTAACTGCCAGTGATGCTCATCTAGCTATATTGCATTATTGGGACAAAATGGCATCTCACTAACTGCCAGTGATGCTCATCTAGCTATATTGCATTATTGGGACAAAATGGCATCTCATTAACTGCCAGTGATGCTCAACTAGCTATATTGCATTATTGGGACAAAATGGCATCTCACTAACTGCCAGTGATGCTCATCTAGCTATTGCTATATTGGGAGGCTATAAAATCTCGGTAAATACTAGTGATGCTCATCTAGCTATATTGCATTATTGGGACAAAATGGCATCTCATTAACTGCCAGTGATGCTCATCTAGCTATTTTGCATTATTGGGACAAAATGGCATCTCACTAACTGCCAGTGATGCTCATCTAGCTGTTGCTATATTGGGAGGCTATAAAATCTCGGTTAATACTAGTGATGCTCATCTAGCTATATTGCATTATTGGGACAAAATGGCATCTCATTAACTGCCTGTGATGCGCATCTAGCTATTTTGCATTATTGGAACAAAATGGCATCTCACTAACTGCCAGTGATGCGCATCTAGCTATTTTGCATTAATGGGACAAAATGGCATCTCACTAACTGCCAGTGATGCTCATCTAGCTATTGCTATATTGGGAGGCTATAAAATCTCGGTTAATACCATCTACCTATATTGCATTATTGGGACAAAATGGCATCTCATTAACTGCCAGTGATGCTCATCTAGCTATATTGCATTATTGGGACAAAATGGCATCTCACTAACTGCCAGTGATGCTCATCTAGCTATTGCTATATTGGGAGGCTATAAAATCTCGGTTAATACCATCTAGCTATATTGCATTATTGGGACAAAATGGCATCTCATTAACTGCCAGTGATGCTCATCTAGCTATATTGCATTATTGGGACAAAATGGCATCTCACTAACTGCCAGTGATGCTCATCTAGCTATTGCTATATTGGGAGGCTATAAAATCTCGGTTAATACCATCTAGCTATATTGCATTATTGGGACAAAATGGCATCTCATTAACTGCCAGTGATGCTCATCTAGCTATTTTGCAATATTTTATGTTTCTTTCATTTGACACCGCTAGAATGCTCTTTTATTGAGCTTATTTAAATTATCCCACACAAAAAAAAAAAAAAAAAAACGCATCCTCCTCATAACTCCTCCTTGTCCTAATCCTCCTTGCCAACGCTCTCTGTCTCGCCATCGGCATCCGGAATTCGGAAAGCGGTTCTGAATTAGATTTTCTAAGCTTAACCAAACTGCATACTACGTTTAGTGATCCAATTGCAATCTGCAAGGGTATACACACTTCGGCGTGTCGAAGTGAGATTCCTTTCTTGTTAACTTATAAATTTAGTTGCCAAACAAAATATTTAATTAAGAATTAGTTATGCGTTTGACATTGTTATTAACAAGATTATTCAGAAATTTCATAAAAACGTATGTATTTTCTATAAAAGTATCTTGAAAACCAAAAGCAGTCTTAAATTTATAGATATTTTTAGATTTTAATGTATTTAAAATTTATCCATTAATTAACTACTGCATTCTATACTTCTTTCTATATATTTCTCTCTATTTATGCTCATAAATTATGTTTATTTCAAGACCTTACCCTCACCCAAGAGCCGAAAAACCCCTATTTTCAAAAAGTCGGTTTGGCTCAGTGGCGCCGTAACTAAATATTTATCGTGTGCATTGCACGAACCAACGAGCCTGACCTCTGGCCTTGCCACAGCAATTACATTAATCGTTAATCGATTGCCCAGTGAAAAGCCCGCAATTTTCGTTTTGTTTCAAACTGTTTATTTATTTCAACGCTTATAATAAAAGTTGCTATAACAATACACATTCGATATATGTATATATAAGTATATATGTTGGAAGTGCACTTGGGTTTCGTTATCCTTGCACGTGTACGTGTACGTGTCCTTGATTCTGGGTGAGATGTATGTGTGTGTGTCCTGTCATTCACTGTCTGATTTGCTGCGTTTTCGTAGTTATTTTATCGGGAAGAGTTCTTCTGACCACGTTCTGGAAGATGAAGATACTTGGATGCTGTACGAGTTACGGGTTTTTGGGTCCACCAGTGGCATTGAGAGTTGGTTCGAGTCGGCTCAAACTGAGATATATAAATATATAGAAGAATGCGGATGGCAAGACCGGAGGAACGGAAGATTCAATTTCAGAGTGGAAGCCTTCGTCTGAGGGATTGGATTTTGGATTTCGATTTGCGGGTGCTCGTTGCTGGTGCAATTTTTTCTTTCCTTTTTTGTTTTTCTTTTTTTCAAAACCTTTTCGAAAATGTTGAATTTTTGTTGTTGTTGTTCTCGTATTTAGGGTGCAATTATCTAATATCAATATTTCGTTGGACTAAAACCAAAAAGAACGGAACGCTGGCCAATTGTTGTTCGTCTGAGTCCGGATATCTCCGGATTCACTGGTAGTCCACCGAGTCGCTGTCGAGGACCGTGGATGAGACCCTCGAGGCGCGGCGGTGCCAGTAATCCGAGTAGCTCGCCTCGTACTGGGCGGCGGTGCGGTGCCACGGTGGCCATTTCAGCTATTCCTCGACGATGTCCCACACCATCAGGGACGCGTCTGTGCCGCCCACGGTGATGAGCGTGTGGTCGCCGCATAAAAAGCGGACGCAGGCCAGCATGCCGGAGTAGACCTTCATTTCGTGGAACTCGGCCCGCGGGGATATGGCGGGGTATCTGTGAATAAATATATTATTAATCTTTACCAAAAATTTCCTAAGAAGAAATAGGTACCTAAACAATCGGAGATATCCTTCGGCATCGCCGGAGGCCAGCATATCGTGAGCTGCCGAGCGGCTGCAGGTGGCCACGATGGTATTGGCGCTGCTATAGTAGCGGTTACTCCATTGTCCTGCCACCAGGAAGCCCACAGTGCAGTTGTTGGTCAGCCACTTCACATCCTTCATGGCAATGGGACTTCGCTCTGGGGACAGTGACTTGGCGTCCCAAAAGAGCAAATCAAAGTCCACCGTCACCGTCTGCACAAAGTTGCCATCCATGCTCCAGTCCAGGTGGGTCAGCGGCTGGGAGCCCCTAATCTTGTTCACCTTCTTGTAGGAGAAGCCATCGCGCGAGACGCGGAACAAGTAAATGCTGCCATTCTGCGAGCCCATGGCGATCATGTCGCCAACTATTAAATAATAATTTAATTTTAAATTCTATAATAGTAAATTATTAATTAAATGTAAGCTCACCCTGGTTGTAGGCCACACAGTTGAGTGGCGAGCCACAGACCCGGAGCGTCAGCATCACGGCTCCGTTCTCGCAGTTGATGACCAGCAGGTGACCCTCGGTGCTGCCCGCGGCCAGAGTGCCGAAGGGATGGAAGGCCAGGGCCACGCACTCGTAGCCCGTCTGGATGGTCCAGATGAGCTTGTTCTTCCGCCACAGGGCCACATGCTTGTCATGGCCAGCGGTGGCGTACAGTTCGTCATCCGGATGGGCGGCCAGGCCCCACAGCTGCCGCCCATGGCCAAAGACCACCTGGGTGAAGCGGCGCTGCAGTGAGCCCTCCAGGATATTGTTACGCGTTGTGCCCACATAGATGTTGCCATCATTTCGGCCCGGACGCTGGGGGTAGATGGTGCGAACGCCGCCGGCGGCCTCAGGGAGCTGGTAAGCAAAAAGAGGAGTTAGTGGAGTAAAGATATTTCCAGAGATGATCTCACCTTGGTATCGGCAATCTTCTTGTAGTTTTGCAGGGAATCCCAGGCGGCAATCTTGCGATCCTTTTCACCACCAGAGAGTAGTGTGCCCTCGCCCAGCATGATCAGGCATCCGATGCCCTTGTTGTGCGCCTCAAACTCTGTGCGTACAAAGTAGGCCCCGTCCGAGTCTACCGAGTAAATGGTAATGAAGCCATCCGAGTCCGCCGTGATCACATCTCCATCCGGTTCGAACTGCACGCTGGTGACATGAGAACGCGATGGCTGCTTCACGATGTCCGTGCGTTCGAAGAACCCATCCTTGCGCCGATGCCAGAAGGCCAAGTGCCCCCGTCCGTGGGTAATAATGAGGTTGTCGTCCAGCGGATGGAATGCCGCCCCCGAAAGGCCCTCCTGCAGGGTCTGTAATTGAGCAAAGCGGGATTATACTCTCAAGTGGGGCAGCAGCAGGCAAGGGGGGATTAGTCGGACTTACGGCCACTTTGCCCAGCAGGTGACCCCACTGCCACTGCCACACGGACAGAATGCTCTCACGCCCACTGTCCACGGCCAGTATGTAGCTGCCTCCGTTCTGTAAGGGAATGTTACGTTACGTTACTCCCTGAATGGGATTAGTGTTTCTGGGACATCACTTACTAGTTGCGAGAAGGCCACGGCGGTCACCCCGCTGTCCAGCTCTCCCATTCCAAAGACATATAGCGTCTGCAGGGACTCGGTGCTCCAGATGCGAACGTGGGCCTGCGACTTGCGATCCCGGCCAGCCTTCTGACCAGAGGCCACCAGCTCTCGAGAGGGATGTACATCCATGCTTGATGTTACAGAGAAAATGAATTAATATAGTAATACTTTTCTATAAATTCTTGTATGTATTAAAAACTCACCACATAATGTCCTCGGTGTGTCCCGTGTAGTGTCTCTGGGCCTCTTCATCCCGATCAAAGAGCACGGCCACAGCGGCCACATAGTAAAGCAGTTCCCCAGAGGGCAGCACCCACAGATTGCGTCGCGCATCTATGCCGCGATAGCCATGGCTAAGGACATCAATAACCAGTTAAAAAAATCTTTTAAGATATATTAAAGACCCCCCACTTACACCCATTGTAGCTGCAGCTTTTTATCCGGCGGGGAATTGTCCGCCGGTGCATGGTGTACGGGCGGATAGAAGGTACGCCTTAGTCCCCTTATGGTTACCTTGGTGGGCTCCTCCTTCATAATATCCAGCATGGTGTACTCCCCATTCGGCCGCAGGATCTCGCTTTCCGGCGCATACAAGATCCTGGGTCGGCTCTTGCTCCTCGGCCTGGCACCACGCAGCGGCACCTTGGGCAGCTCATCCGTGGGCAGTATAGGTGCAGCGGCCACCACCGAGGGGCGGGAGCGAGAGCGTCGAATGGGTGAGCCGGCTATTAAGGCTGTGCCTGTGGCCAGATAGAAGGTGTCCACATCGGCGAACTCGTTACGCAGTTGAGAGAAACTGCGGACCTGTAGGGGAAGCAAAAGATTTAAATGTTTACAAAATCTAATCTATATATATCACAGACTTTTCTAGGGCTAAAAAACTCTACATTAGATGACCAATTTGGGTTTTTTTGCCACGCACCAAGGAGGGGTTGGTGGCCACAATTTGTCAAATCATTTTGCGGGTCACCTTAGGTCGTATGGGGGCCTAGGTCTTTATTAAGTTATTAGGCCGTGTCAAGGTCGCGGGACTTGAATCCAAACATATAGTGCTACTTACCTCCTGGCCAGTGCCTGTGTACATTTTCTTTGCTCCGTTAATTTTCAGCACTTGACCCAAATCCTCGAGCACTTCCTCGAATGGCTGCGAGGTGCGTAGGTTTAGCAAAACGCGACACTGGGTAAAGAAGGCAAAAAGCATGGCATGAGTATATAGATTTGTATATGCGTAGAATCACGTGTTAAATCTGGTCGGGTAATTAGTCTGAACGTATATAGTACACGTGTACTAGGGCCGGGGTCGGAGTGCTGCCTTTCAACACATTTTGCTTGACCTGCGGTCAAAAATTTAGTCATGGCACGCAACTTCCGTTTCGAGAGGCCCGCCAACCGCCAAATCCCCTCCCGCAAAAAAAAAACACCCCGTTTCCTCGAGTAATGCTTATAATTATATGTTGTCGTCGCCTTGCGTCCTCGCCGCATCCTCGGCCACATCCACATCCCAAGTCCGCGTCCACTTTCCTTTGACGCGCGCGTCCCACAAATCGAGTCTGTGACCCAGTTTGCGTTTTCTTTTAATGCTTAATACATTTTATTTGTGGCTGGCACTCGGAGAAAAATAAATTAGAGAGGTTGCTTTTACTCCAAGATACTCCCAAAATAAGTTAGATTCCTTTCTTTGAGTAAAAGATACTCGCAAAGTGGGGTAATGTTATAAATATATACATTTTAAAGAAGTATTTAAGCGGAAAATACAGAAATGTATACAAAAGAATAGAGAGAATATTAATTAGAAACTTTATAAAATATATTTAAACTAACCTTTCCTCTGTGAAATTTTATTGAATTTTTAAATTGATTAAATCCAACTTGGCACACAATTTTCCTGGCTGTGCAGCTTCATTGTTTGGTTTTGCCTCATTGTTGATATTGTTATTGTTGTTGCACTCGAGCTTTTGCGCTCATAATTGGGTGCACCCCACGCACAACCCACAGCCCAGAAGCTACCACCCGCCACCCACAATGAAGGCCACGCTTTGTTGCATTCACTGGGTGGCGCTTGACTTTGGCTTTTCTGCTTTCGCTGCTTATTTTTCAAGTGGAATACTTGAGTTTTAATGACCTTCAGGGCCTTGATAACAGTTATTCACGCGTGTTAAAGAAGAATTTGTCTCTCCACTTCTGGCAGGATCTCTCTCTCCATCATCGTTTCCCTATTCCGGGACTCGCATAAAATTAAAGCAGCTGCCATCCAAGTTTTATTTGGCAAAAAGGGACGCTTACCAGGATGAGGACCTGGACCTGGACCTGGACCAAGACCAAGCGACAGCGACAGCGATAAACTTTCGCCGTTGTCTGGCCAAGCTCGGTTTAATTTATGTATTTAGTTTGGCTTCGGAAAAGGCGTCCGTTTAATGGTTTTATGTCCGCGTTGAGTGGTTTTCCCCGCACATCCCAGCCATCCGACTGATTGTTGGCAAACAGAGAAAAAAAAGGAACGCCATCCGAGTATAAATGCCAGGTTCCAACTTTTTACCTCCCCAAAAGCCGCGAATTTATCCAGCTCATTTGGAAGTTTTCGGGGGGAAAAGTTTGAAATTTGACTTTTTGTTAGGCCTGACCGGTTATAACAACTTTATTTTCGTTGAATTTTTTTGAATCAATTATAATTATCATCGAAGTAGGCCGGGAACTACATATCTGTGTTAGGGGAAGTTGTGTTGACAGTTTATGACTGCGTTGCCACTTCAGTTTTTCAGCAGAAAATATATTATTTAAAAAATTATACCAATGATTTTTAGGAATTCCAAATTACTTCAAGATATTTAAACTCATTTTTAAACTAAGTTACTCGCTTCCTATAGTTTTCTATAATCAATTAAAATAATAAAAGTAGTTCTCGTTTATTTATTAAAAAATCTTGCCTGGCTTGTTTGAATGTTAAGTGAAATCCTTTTTAATCTTTTTAAATAGAAGCAAACGTCAATTTTTTAAAAAGCTTTATCAAACATTTTCCGACTACTCTAGCCTTTTGCTGCTGACCCCCTTTTTTATGGTTAGCCATTTGATTTACAGTGACGTCCATTTCGACTACCGAAACGCATGTCTTTTATGGGTCGTTAGGTGGACTGGTTCAGGTGTCGACCGATTTGAAACGGACCCGACCCCATGGACTGTGTGCCTCTATTTATCACAATTTATTTATGGTTTATCAAAGCGTAACACCTGCGACACAATTGTCCGGCCAAAATGTTTTCAAATTCAAATGGTGATGGAAGAGTTTCGCCTTTCATCAAATAAATGGAGAAAATTCAAGGCCTGCAGGGGTATTTCGATAAGCTTGGTTTTGTGTATAAAAAGAAAACCTTTAGAGAAACAACTTATATTTTTGACAATTTATTAAAGTAACCAAAAGAAATCAAAAAAATTAGAAAGTGTTTAGATTGATATTAAGAAGTTAGAGCTGTACGTTAAGACTTTTTTTTAATTTTTACAAAAATATATTAGCTTTCAGAAAAAGCTTTTAAAAATAGAATAGAGAATATTAAGTTATTTTCTCCTCTTTCCCAGAAAATGTAAACCATAAATAATAATCTCGAAGCACTTTAAAGTTGCCTTAAATTAAAAATAGCATCAAATGTCCATTAGGCAAATTGTTACCCCATTTGCCACTCAATATCCACAGCCAGCAGATGGGGTAAACTTTTCCTAACTTTTCTTTCGGCAATCGACTGTCACTTAATTTACTGGAAAATTAATTGACAGGACCAGAGGCTGAAAAGATGCTTTTAATAATTTAGTGCAATGCATTTTGGACCCTAACTTCTGCTGCTGCTGCAGGGCTGTCGATGTCTATGCCATAAATTATGCACGAATATGTCCTCCCACACACACCCATTGAGACTCACTCACACACACTGAAAGCCATGCACATGGGAGCCATTCTGAAGACGCCTCGATGAGGCAATATGGTCATCGGACATGGACTATAAACAAATATAATTATGTGAGCAAATAATTACATTATCGGCTACGCTGCCAGCTGCAATCACGTGGCCCCAAACAAATGGCGTTTGTTAAGCCAATTACGTGCACTTTTCGTATGCGGTAGCAGGTGGAAACTGTGGAAATGTAAGGGAAATTCGAGGGTGTGCTGGGCGTGGAGGAAGGCCAGCGTGGCCGGCAAACAGCTGCCGGAAGGAAATGGCCAGGACCTCCATTTTCCCTACACATATCCCAGTCCCAGTCGTCTGTCTGTGTGATTTAAATTGTCAGCATTTCTACTCGTCTGGAGGGAAAACCTCTGTGCCGGTTTTTCAGGCATTCAATCGTTCGTTCGCTTGCCCGCTCGCTCGCTCGCTCGGCCGTTTGCATGGTTGATTTAATCTTGGTGACGTCAAAACCATGCAAATTTCCCAAATATTTTCGTATTGCGGCAACTCCTCCTGAGCCAAACACACACGCACACACGGACAACTCACTATGGAATTCCAATAAAACACCAACATGCATAAAACAAAAGACGTTAAACTGCAGGACCGTTTGCTGTCGTCCTTATTGTCGTCAACGTTCCTAGAGTTGCATAAAGGGAACACAAGTAATTTAAATGAAAAACACGAGAACCGAAAGCGATTGAAGTGCGGTACGTCGAGATTTAACTAGGACGTTTACAAAGGCCTAAGAAAATGCATTTTAATTGTTTTTTTATACATCAAACATTGACTTTCGTTTTTATAAAAGCAAGTTATTTTATTTAGGTCAGATTTTCAGGTAATAATTCAAATATTTGTTGTACTTTGAAGAACTATTTTTGAGCCTATGAAACTTATTAAATACAGTTAGAATTTAAATGAAAAGATTGGAATATTTCAAGTTAAAATTGTTTATAAAATCAATAGGAATTTTATTTTGATTTTTGTATCACCTTTAAAGAAAGGCACTAAGAAATTACTACCTATATCCTATGACATATTTCCTTTCCTTTATTTATTAAAAATTCCCTTGCCAGGCCTCACAATTCGTATCCTTTAGGATCATCCTCATATTAAGTTCGTAGAGCGTATTCCTGGACTATGGCAACTGAAACCATTCCGAGTCTTATTTTGTTTGCATTCTTTTTTTTTTTTTTGGCTCCCAGCATGCTTACATATTCTCTGCCTTTTTCTGTTTGCCTTCAACGAAAGTACACACATATGAAAGGACAACGGGGATATGGGAAGAGAGCGTGCCAGGTGAGGCTGGTGCCTTTGTTGCCGTTCTTCCTCGCCGCTCTTTCCCAGGGTCCATTGCTCGATGCCCCTGTGGCGTATACGTTATGAAAAAATTGAACCGATATGAATACTGCATAAGTGCACAGAAAGAAAAGTATTTAATGGGATTTTTTATTACAAAATTTAAGAGAAATTAAGAAAGGCAGCTATGCTTGAACTATGTCAAAAATGCATCACTAAGCCAAATACTAATTACTTACTATAACTAAAAAAGAAGGAATACCCTTTCAAAGCCAAAAAATATCATAACTTAGTCAAAAAAGCATTAAATTCAATGCGGAAAGCTTTTCTCTGCTAGTTTTTAGTAGTCCAACAAATCTGCATACTACATTTAAATTTTTAAGAAATTAAAATTTTGGTCAATTTTTGAAAATTTTAACGATGTAACCCCTTATCAAATTTTGAAATTTTGGAAAAAATTACAAAATTTTATTTTCTTTCCGACATGGCTAGATTGACTCCCCTGTTGATGCTGATCAAGAATATATGTATATGGTTTATGGGGTTGGAAATGACTCCTTCACTGATTTGCAGACTTCTGACTAAGATTAGAATACCCTGCAAGGCTAAAAATATAGAACTTAATATCTAACTGGTTCCTCTAATTTTTTAAACATTTTTTCATAGTGTACCTGCACTTGTATGTGTTCATAAACACACAAGTTATAGAAGAATGCCCAACGTTTCGCCTATTACGTCAAACACGTAAGCTGCAAGTTGAAAAAGTCAACAAACAGCAAAACAGAATGCAATGCGACACGTTGCACTTCAGTGTGCCGAAAGCACATACTATATAGTGTATATATCGGGTGATATATATGCCATGTAGATGGAGCGAAACTACCGCCGATATTGAGTAGCATGCCATTATGCAGGGCCATTTATTGTGGCTTTCAATTGCATTACCCACCAGAGCCACTTGGTGTAGTTACAGATACACAGCGATACAAGATATAGACGTTGCTGTTGATGTTGATGCTGATGTAGATGTTGATGTAGACGTAGGTGTGGATGTGTCGCCCAGACACAAACAAAACAAATAAACACAAACATGGCAGGCCACGTAGACAGAGGCCACGAGACACAGACAAAGTCCCAGACGAACCCAAGGTGGGGGAGGCATTGGCGGCGGGTGGAAAAAAGGTGAACAGTGTCAACAGATTAGGGAAAAATTATGTGTAAATTTTTTGGGGAAAACCTAACATGTTTCCCTTACTCAAGGCCATGAGGTTGTATTTTTGAAGAAGTGGTTTGTCATGCAATTAGCTTGGGAGTAGGGGAAATCCTTGAATGAATATTAAATTATAATTTATATAATATTTAACATAAATTAAGAACTTCAAGAAGTATTTTAAGCATAAATATATATTTTTAATAAATCATAAAATGCTCTAAACTATTCACACTTCTTTTCCTTTGGGGAGTTGCAATAGTATCTTCCCATAAAGCTATTGGCGCCAGCACTCTGTACTTTTGGTGTTTTCCATATTGGAGTACAAAGCACCCGTGTCTATATACTACATACATATATACCATATATTTTGTGCCAAGACGACTTTGTTGTTGGCGCGCCATGTCCTTGGCCTTGGTCAATGGTGGAGTCCGACAACAACGACTTCTACAATTTCCTCTTTCGCTTTTGTTGTCGGTTGTACTTTGGTCAAATTTGCATTGCAAACTCCATTAAGTGTGTCTTGTAAGAGGGGGAAAAGCGAAGGAAAAGCGTTGGAAAAACGACTGCCTATTGTTTTTGTGGGGGCTTTCCACGCGCCTTTGTCTTGGCTGTGTCTTGGCAGCCATTAATGAGATTCGATTCGATTTTGGGCTAGCCAACATCCACTCTGAACCGAGCCAAGGTCCGCCCCCTAATTGGCCCGATCAGGTGTTGGCCTTGGCCAAGGCTGCAGCCCACGTGCTGAAAGGCGTTGAAACGCCCACGACGTAAAATGTACTTTTGATTCATAAAACTGCACGAATGCCCCGACACGACCGGCAAAAAAAACACAAAAACAAAACAATAAAAAATAAAAGAGAGCTGCAGAGGAATGTTACTTGCACTTAGGAAAATTACCATAAACCGTTACTACGACAACGGTCAGGTGGGCGAAAGTTGCAGCCCCGTTTATAGTGCCGAAGCCAATTCATATTTTAAAGGCATTTTCGTAATAATAACATAAATTACGACTGCAGGAGGGGGGTCGCAGGGAAAGAGTTATGGGGCCATACACCTGACTGCAAAGTTTTTGCCAGGCTTCAGGCCATTATGCCCTTGCCAAGAAGGGGTTTTATAAAGTTGAGGATAAGTTTGATAAGTACTGCTAATATTTAGTATATGGTTGCTAATTTTTAGAGCTTTAAAAATGAAAAAAAGGAGTTAAATTGATATTATTTCTGCCTTGAAGTATAACCAATTAAGAAAGGTAAATAAAAACATTAAAAATGGGTTGTTAATTGATTTGTAAAAATCTAAAAAAAAATATATAGTAAATACAGAGCATTCATAGTTTCGATTTCCCCACTTATCCTTTGTTTCATGCGATTCCATTCGCCATTTTTTACTCTTTTGGTTTTTGTATGTCAGCGGAAATTACCAAATTGACCGTGGCTTCAATTTTGTTGCTACTGGCTGGCTGACTGGCTGTTGGCCCGGTCCGAACCGAACCGAACCGTACCGACTGCATACGATAAAATACAAATTGCAGACAATTGATTTTCCATATGATTGCAGCCCCCGAAAAGTAGGCAAAGGTTAATTGCGGACTTTCGGGCGAAATGTCAAAATGAATGGATTTTTTATGGGCAAAGCCATCATAAAACTTTAATCACTGCACTTGGGACATTTTAATAGAAAATGAATAAATAAAATGTAAATTATAATAGAGTACAAAGTGAAATGAGCGAAAAAAAACACTCATTTGAAAAATGGCAACCGCAACTAATGATGGCCCCCAAGGGTCGATCCAAGAATTCAAGCGCTGAAAAACACATCAAAGTGGTTTTATTCCGCCGGGGATTGGGGAAAATAAATTGTCAAATTATTTATGCGCTGGATCCTTTAATGACAGTTAAGTCAGTGTCGTCGGGTCATGGGGCTGCTGCAGTGGCGAAAAAAATGAAAATAAACTCTGCTGACCATAAAATATTGATGGCAAATATTTATACAAATAAAAGCGAATCGGTTTGGCTCTCAGCTACCAGTTTGTTTTTGTTGTATTTTTTATACTCCCACAAGCGAAGCGGAAAAGTAAACCTTGAACAAAAATGCATTTCGCGAGGTCAGGTGGCTCCACAGCAGCCACATAGATATGTGTCTACCATATATGTTTACACAGAGCTCTTTGCAATATTCCTCTTAAATATTTAAGCACATTTTTTATATTTACTCAAAGTATTTGTCCTCGGCTCTGGCGTATTTCATCGAGCACTTTGCATAAATTTCAATAAACTTTGTAGGCCCGCTCGACCGTTCGAACGGCCAGCCGGTGGCTCTAATGCAATAGTCAAACATAAATTTACATAAATATTGCAGACCGATGCGCGCTTTAATCGCGGCAATTAAAACATTTGCACAACGCATCGCTGCCCGGGCACAAATACAAACGAAATTGCGAAAATAGCGAAAATGCCCGCAATCGATGGGGAAAATTTGCGGAACGAGAGGTGCATTTTCCGCAGCTCCCTCTCAAAATATTTTTGTGCATTGTTGATGACGTCGACTGTTGCAGTGGGGGGTTGAACCGAAACAATAAATATCGCATGAAAATCGAAACGAACAACGGGGAAATGGGTTAAAATTCCCGGGCATTCATGAGACTCACCTGCACCGAATGATCCAAATTATTGATGATGCGTATCACACGGCCGGCGCTGCGCTTTATCGAGCCTGATGTGGTCGATAATGTGCCCAAATCCGCTTCCATTATTGAGGGCTTCCGACTGGCGGGCTTGGAGCCCCATCCCTGATTTCCAGGCGATGCATACCACATCCCGTTCTTCTTGCCGTAACTGGCAGGCTGTCCGGAAAATGTACGGAAAAGCAAAGAGAGAGAGAGAGAGAAAGAGAGAGAGAAAATGGAGGTGAGAAACAAATAAATAGTAAAAGTACGTGCAAATGGCTGCATTTTTGGTATTGAATAGTTGCCCTGCCACCAGTGATGGAGGAGGTGAGGCTTTATTACCTGTAATATAAAAATATATAAGAAAATATAAAAATATATATATGTTCCTTTATATAAATCCGAGTAAGCAGAGGCCCAAATTCAACATTTTATACTCCTTGAATATATACAAAACTTATACTTTAAGAGGTTATACCCTCCAGATACCTGTCATCACTGTCCAGTGTACATCCCCCCTTAAACCCCTCGATATATACGGTGCGTATGTATATGCCATTTACAGATTGCTGGCATCGCGGCTTTCATGAAAAATTCCGCGCAAATCTGGAATTAATTAAATTGTTTTGCAGCACGCACGGGACCCATGGCTTGACCTAGCAATAGTCATGGAAAAGTAGATGTGAATGTGGACGTGTGGACACGCACCCAAACTGACCACGCACCGAGTGCCAAAATCAACCGAATCTGGCTTTGAATGTTCAGGGTAGGGGAAAATCGGTTTTTCCTCCTCCTCCTCTGTTTGAACTTATCCAAAGCCCACACTATTTTGGCTCGAAGGCATCAAACATTCTCGACTTTTGGGTGATGGCAGCGTGAGGGCGACTTTGGCATAAGATATTCAAGCTTATAATGGAAAAGATGAGCTGGGATAAGTCATGTAAGAGAGCTGACAATCCACTCAAAGATGGGTTGGAGTTGAGGGTTGAGGGGGTATTATAAATTAATTTAGATAATTGGGTAAATGTTAAGAGATAATTAGGGAATACAAGCTGGGAAAATGTAAAATTTTCCTGGGTTACCATGAGTAAAATAAGTAAAAAGTGATTTAAGGAATATTATTATTATTAAAACTGTTTTCCTAGGCTCTTTAATTCTCTCTCCAACATTTAGTCACGATCTCATCTCTATTCCTAAACTTCACTTCTTTGAACTCCTAAAACCGCAAATCGGAAAAGTCTTCTTTTCCCGCAAGTCTCAGTATGTGTGAGTCTGCGTATTGGCATTTGCTTTTATCTCATTGAATGATTAGAGTCACTGACAGTGCGAGATTAGTTGGCCCACAGCCTGAATAAATTATCAGCCCAATCTCTACCCCCCAAAGCTCCCCGACTCACGTTCAACGAGGTTAATGATTGGGGTAGAGCCAGGATATTTACTATATGTACAGCTTCCCTAAGCTTTCCATTTGCCTAATCATCGAGTGCCGCCCCGAGGGAAAATGCCACTTTCATTCCGGGATTGCATTGCCAGAGAGTCCTTTGACAAATATTTGTGGCACTTTTGCAGTTTTTGCAGGCAGCCCTAGTGCCAAGAGAGCCTTTAAATTGAGTTGTTCGCTCACATTCAATTTGACAAATGCATTTTTCCTATTTTTCCGTCTGCCATATATTTCAGTTTGCTGCCACAAACAGAAGCCGGGGCCATAATTCAAAATAAATAAATTGTTTAATTTTAATTGTTTTTCGTCTTCCTGCCTCCTGAGTCGACTCTTTTCGTTTGATCCGTAGGTGAAAATTCAATTTTAATTCCACATTCGGCTTCGATGGATTTTCAATTTAATTTTCCTTTTCTCTGCCCTCTGCTCCTCTTCCTTTTACGATTGCTTCCCAGGCTTTTGCCTTTGCCACGGCAAAAGGTGGATGGGATATACAATTATTGTAAACCGAAAACAGGGGCCACAGGACGAAACAAAAAGTGGAAACTGAAATTAATGTAAATTCGTTTTTAACACAATTCCTCAGCCGGCAATTTTACATTTGCTTTGTGCACAGCGAAAGAAAGTAAAGTCATTGAAATATTGAACTTAAAAAGGGATTGTGTCTTTGAGAGATTATTAAAATATTTTTAAGATTATTATTTTTATGATAGAATCCTTCAAAGAGGAATTGAGTATTAAATATGGATACCGCTTTCATAACTATTTATTTGCAATGCCTTAATTCATTTTTATCGCTTTATTTTATTTAAAACTGATTTTTTAAATAAATAAAAGATTAGGGAATACTTTTAAAAATTGTTTATAAAATTGTTGAACGGTTTTTTCCATTTATGAAAAATTTTAAAATAATTTAACCAATCCCTAATGACCTTTAATAACACCTTATTTTTAAGATACTTCAAAATATGTAATTTAAAACCATTATATTGTAAATCCTGTGCTCTCATATATTTTTTTAAAATACCTAAATAATTTTCCCAGTGCCTGAAAGCCACACCGAAACCCTCTGACTGACCCCAATAATGTTTTTGGGGGGCCCAGACACTTGAACCTAGTAGAAATTCTGGGCCCGGGCCCAGCATGTGCACAAGGTTACAATCAAAATCAAGGCTTTTAATTGAAATTCAACAAAAATGCAGAAATTCAAATATGCCGCACTCGTCATCGTGTGTGTGTGTGTGTGTTTTCGGAGATTTGGCTCTCGTGCAAATGGAAAGCCGGAAAAGCAGCTGGAAAACCGGGTGCACGTGTCAATGATTGTTGGTGCTGTCAGGGGGCGGACACTTCCTTCTGGCCGAAAAATCAATTAAAATTCCGCCAAAACATAATATAAAATACAAACCGTTTTTGCCACCTATTAAAATACCAAATGAATTCATTTGTCTCATCTCCTGCGGTGTTTTGAGTGAAATACAAGTAAATAAATTAAAAGCACAGTGTCGGCATGAATTTTCAATTGCCTTTGCCCGCCACATTTATGGTAATGGTAATGGTAATGGCTTCTTTGCTAATTCCCCGAATTTAATCAAATTTTATAATTATTGCCGGTAATGCGATTATCGCTTTTGAGAGATTTCCTTCTCATTTCGAATTATTAAAGGCTTATCAAATTAAAATAGGATGTGTTGGTTGTTTTTTTAAGCAACAATTTTAATTTTAGGGAAAAGTTTAGAGGGATTTATATGGGAAAATGAAAGGGAATTTATTACAACTTAAATACTCTTGATCTTTGAATTTTATTATATATATTTTTACGATTTTTAAAGCCATTATATATATAATTTAAAATAACTTTAGTTCTCGTAAAGCCAGAAATAAAGCCAAAATAAATGAAATGAAAGTCGTAAAGTCTATAAGTACCTTTTATTTCTTTTAAAGACAGTAATAAAATATTTAAAAATTCAATTTATTATACAAACTAAGCTACTTTAATTTTTATGGGTTTTCCTCTCAATTATTTATGTAATTTAAACCTATTTTAAGTAGTTTACTTAGGGTATTTATTGACTAAACAAACTTTACTTAGCTTGGTTTTTAATTAAAAATTGTTTTTGCCACAGGATGGATTTGTTGGCCACACATTAAAAAAGAAATGCATTAAAATAAAAGTCCTGATTGGCAGTATTATGTTTTATTTATGTGGCTATAAGAGCTTTTTTTCTATTTGTTGTAACATTTTTTTTTTTAGATAGGGATGACTTTAAAATTGGCCTAGGCTGGGTGGTAGGGAGAGAGACATCCCCTTGGGACTCTGCTAGTGAAAACTGGGGTTGGACCTGCCACTTAGCAACTAATATAAGCACCAGAATGCTACAGAGCGGGGTCTCTGCTCGGCAAAAGCTTAAATTACGCGCTCAATTAAACTTTAAGCAAGTTGGAAGAGAGGCCACCAATTCAATACAAAGGGGCTAGCAAAATCTAAGCGCAACTTCAAAGCCCTTTCTACGTTTGACGTGCAGCCTCGCAGAAAATTCAGTGAAGCCAACTTCAGGGACGGAGCAGGGGTAGCTCCCCTTTTTGGGGCAGCGTCTGAGTGGCAGCTTAAGATGCCGCATTTTACGCATATTTAAGCGGTGGGAGTCGAGCCTCTCACTCTGTAATCTTTATGATTATTATGGCTGGAGTGGCGGCTCAAATTGGTTTTTGTTTTGGCGTAAACAAATAAAATAGTTTGCCCAATAAACTGATAAACAAATAAATACATATTGACATTTATGCTGGTTCTAGGAACCCCAGGGATTCTCTCCTAGCTCTCCTCCGCTGGCGTGTTAAATGGGGTTTAAAATTTACGGGCCATTTTACGTGCTATTACGTATACGTAATATTTACTGTTTCGCACCTTTTGCGGTTTTGTTTGGATTAGTTTGGGATTTGGCAAAATTATGAAAAATTATAGCAAAAAAGCTGAAGGTAGCTTTAAAAGGTAGCATTTGGAAATTTATGATGGGGCCATAAATAAATTGTTTTTAGCTTTATTTTCTTAAATTTAAATAGGAATAAGAAAGTGGAGAATTTATAGTTGTACTTTTATTTCGATTTCAATTTATTTCGTTTACCAATTTCAGACTGAACACTCTCGGACATATACGCATTTCACTTAATCAGCAGTTTAGAGCCAGTTAGTGGCTAATGTAAATATCATCTACTCAACGTTGTGTGAACTTTTTCGGGCAGAGCATAAATTTGTGCTGACATGGCACATGCCACATGTCCTACACACACAAAATGTGCACGGAGGAAAATGCAGAAATATGGAAATTATGAAATTATTATTTATGAATTTGAAATTTGGAAAAGCAAGGCTTCCGACTAAACATAAATGTATAGCATTTTAACTTAGAAAACAAGTATAAATTAAGTAAAGAATTCTTCAATCTTTTTAAGACTGAATAATAATCTCTTATGGAACTAGAGGAACTCCATTTCCAAGATGAATAACAAACAGAATTTAAATCTCAGTGCCTCAGCTGTCCAGCAGCCTGTCGAAGGCAAAGAGAAATATTTAAAATTGAGCATATATCAACGAAGGGCAGGACAGGACTAGATTCGGCGGCCAGCACACGTAGACCATTAAAAAACACTTAGAAAAACAACAAAAGTCATTTAAACTTTTTGCCAACTTTTTTTTTTTACCACCCGCACGTTGCTGCTCCTCTATTTCCCGCCGAGGGAACAA